ATTTCACATTCATATGTTAGTTAAATATAAGATAAATTTCACATAATTGAGTGAATGATTCATTAAAAGGTGGATTGCGGGTACCTCGACACAAATAGTGAGCAGTTAGAATTATGCGTGGGGTAGTTATACTGAGTGAGGGTTACTAGTGAGACAGTTTGGAGATATTTCTTCAACGCTTTTTTCTTTTCACTTCAAAGTATTTTATTTTACCTTTAATCTAGAACAAAACAGGCATGTTGTATCTTTGAGTTTGCAACCTACATAATATGAGGTGTAAAATATAAACAGCTATTTTTGGGGAAGTATTTATGAAATGTGTTTTTTGGTAAATCTAATTTTAACTTTGTGATCAAATTAAGTTAAAAATCTTTACTGAAGAGAAGAGGAAGGAACAGGAAAGACCATTGTGCCGAAGCACAAAAAGTCCTTGTTCAGCTTCTCGCTAAGAATAAATTCTTTACACAAGGGTAGCCCTTCATTTTATATTTACTTAATTCTGTTCGCTTCCTGCTTGGTCTTTAGTCAGCTTGGCATTTGTTTACTCTTGTCATGATGAACTAATTATTTGCCAAAAGGCTCTCAGTACTTTTTTGTCAAATGCAAAACAGGGCGTACAAGTTTGGGACAGTGAAGTTGCGTAAAGGCCCCTTTACTCGTCCATTTGGGTGCTCGCTCACGAAATCCTCCCTTGTCGGTTACTTTGTTTGACCAGCTCTTTTCCTCTCCATTGAACACATGGGGTGAGTGCTTCAGTGCGCCTTGAAGGCTCAGAAGATGCTTTCAGCAGCTTTCATTGACGCATTGGGGAAACTGGAACTCGTGTTTTCTAAGGAGCCTGGTCCCAGGGCACAGGGCAAGGAGCTCTCTAACTCCGAAGGGGAGTTTACACTTTTGAGATGAATGAGAATCATTATATTAGCCATTACAGTTTGTTTCAGGTATTTATATACTCAAAGAAGTTTCTAGACTGGGCCAAAATATTGAGGTAAAAAGAGAAAAATGTAATTGCCTATATTATGTCAAACATTGAAAGGTCTTGGAAAAGCCTAGAAGACTGTTTTCATATAGAGAATTTGGCAACACTTAAATGCAAAAAACAATCTTTGGTGGAAATTTTATTTTTCAATTTTTTTATTCCAAGAGTTGGCTTACCAGCAGAAAGCAGAATATTATAAAATTTTGCACTGTAGTACTTATAGTGTATAATGCAAAGCACACATTTTAAAAATGAGACTATAAATAAAATAAAAGGATAAGATTCAAGCTGAAACAAACTTTTAAAGGTAATTGCACAAAGAATTGCAAAGATCTTAGTGAGTGACAAAATTTGCTGGAAGGTGCGGCATTACAGAGAGTGAACAAGTGCTCATTACAGCGTTTCTGAATTGTCAGCCTCAAATCAAAACTCTTTTAGTGACAGAAAGTTTTAAAATAATCAGATACAGTTGTGATTGCAGTTTAAAACATATCCTATTCAATACATTTCTAAAGGGAATGATCTTGTAAGCATTTTTACAAATGACAGTTTGTCCATCCTGTCCTGTGGGGGGTTACTCGTCCCTGCTCTCTGTGCTCCTGAGGTTGCTCCCGGCACACTTGGGGAGAGGGTACAACTGGGAGCACTTGGGTGACAACAACTGACAACTTAGCATCTACGACAGATGTTCCCAATTCATGGAAGACAGGCCGGCGTGAGACTTGCACACCAAATATAGTAACACCTTCCCTGTCCAGAACCCAGATTTCCAGGCATCTCCTAAACAAAGCGCAGCCAAGAATTCAAAAGCTGGCCACGGAAGAAAGCCCAGGAAACGAGGCCCCACGGGGCTCTCGCTGCAGAGTGAGGCACGAAGCCCACGCGTGGAAGCCCGGGGTCCTCGCTGCGAGCGGCACCGCAGACGAGGGACCCGGGCTTTCGGCTGGCCTGTCGACAGGCTGCGCGCAGTTCCCACGCTTGTGGAAGCCTGTAAATCTCAGGCGGACTGGAATCCTGGCTAGAGAGGGACCAGAGCCCTGCTTCCCATCGTGTTTGAAAGGGCCTGGGGAGGCCCACCATTTAGGGAGACCCAGGCCCAACGCAATGAAAAGAAGTATCTTAGACCCCTGAAGGGAACCTCCGACTATCTAGAAACTGCCATTGTCCAAAATGATTAGTCCTTATGTGCTCAGGATAATTGAGGCTTTCTGTGCAAGTTTAGTTCATTTGGGCACCTGAATTCTACGGGAGAATTTTATTTCATTCGGGTAGATGACACTGTCCAAGGCGAAGGCCGTCATCCAATCTTAGCTTCTGGAAACAATATTTAATGCCTGTGCTGTAAACAGCCATGGAATAGCCACAGCTGGCATTACTGTGTGCCAACCATGTGCCTAGAACTTTACTTTTATTACAACTAATCCTTGCAGTAACCCTAGATGGAAGGAGTTGCAATCCCCATTTTACAGATATAAAACTGAGGATTAGTGGTAAAGGAAATTGGCAAAGTTTACTTAGGATTCAAAGCCAGGACATTCTGCCTTCTTTCCATGGCTGCCTCGTCCTTCGAGCTGATGAGAGCGGGTTTCCAACCCTGGGCGGACTCGAGGACTAACTCCCAGGTACGGAGGATCGCTGCCCAGGTTGCTCTGGTTCTCCGGTTCTCACAGGCAGCCGCAGGACAGGGGCTGAGTCCTCTCTCAAGCTCTTACTTGTCCCAACCTCCCACCACCCATCTCTCAAATATCTACCTCTGAGATAAAGAGATCTGGATTCTCATGAGCTGGCTCAGCATGTAGCTTATCTCCACTCGGGAAACAATCATTCAAACCCCTCAGGAGGCTGTGGGCGAGGGCGAGGGTCAGACATGATGTTTTATTTTAATGAGAGCGCAACAAAATGTAGACTTGTACCATGAAGACACCCTTTCTCTGCTGACTAGATTTGCATCTCATTTCCAAGACAGCATTTGACTTTCCCACCGAACTGTGTTTACCTTTCTGAGAGTCATGGAACCGGGAGCAATAATCAGGTGGCCAGTGGAAGTGGGGGGAGCATTTTAAGCCTCTGCTCATAAATGCTTGCTGGCTGTGGGGCAGTGTAGGGCCAAACAAACAGAAGGGGAAGAGGGCAGTGTTGCAAAGTTCGTTTCCTGTGCAAACAGCCCAGCTTGGAATACAAAGTCCACAACATTTACCTCCTCCCACGTCCGAAATGGACCCTGCACAGGACATTTTGAAGTGCTCCCCTTGGGCACTAGGGCGCTGAATTTCCGATACAGTCATCTGGAAGCCTCAGAAGTACGTTAAGTGGTTGGTCTTTGTCATCATATGATTTGGGGGGCATAGGAGAGACCCCTGCTCATGCTCCCTCACTCAGAGCCTTGCCAAATTGGCTCTTTAAGGTGCCTGAAATTTCACAGTTAATGTGTCATTGTTTTTCCTCAAGCTAAACATGATGTGCTGACGCCCATGTTCCCACGGAGACTCGTTCATTGACCTGTCATCGGTCACTTATCCCTTTAGTAGAAATGAGTTTGACAGTAATTTACACAGGAAATAATAAATGTAAAAGTCCCTTTCTAATCCATAAATTGTCAGCTAAATATTAAATTATTTGAACACATTTTTAAAAATTTAATTGAGATATAATTGACATGTATAAATTTTGACTGAAGAATTATCTTTCTCCTCATAGCTAATATTTATCAAGTGCTTATTATATACTAGGCATAGTTCTAAGATTTCATGACAACAAACCTAAATGAGGAAGTCATGGTTATTATTCCCATTTTACAGATGAGAAAGACGAGGCACCGAGAGGCTAAGAAACTTTCCCAAAGTCACTCATTTTGTGTCTGAGCCAGGATTTGCACCAGGCTGTCTAGTTCCACGGCCTGCACTGTAAACCGCTCTCTTGCTCAATTACTCTCTTCAAAGGTATGGTGGTTGGAACATACGGGAGAAAGAAGATTTGTGATATTATACTAACATCTCTTACAATATGGACACAATTTTCTTATATCAGTTCTATTCTGCTTCTTGTGGTCTGAACATGAGCATAAAGGAGATAATCAGAACAATATCAACAGGTACTTGCTATACGATGGCCGATGTGGTCACTTTTATCTCCATCACCCTCGTGATCCTCACTGTCACTGCCATCAGCACCATCATCATCATCACCATCATTGACATCATTTACTGAGGGCTTACCAGTGTCCCAGACCATGTTTATTTCCTACAATGCTAAACAACCCTATCTAAACCTCAAAGCAATCTTAGGGAGTGGGTATAACCATTCCTACTTTATAGATGAGATCCTGAACTAAAATAGAGAAAAACCGCAGGGATGCTAAGGTCATTTAGCCAGAAAACATGCAGCTGGAATTTGAACCTAACCTTCAAAGCTTACGTTCTTAACCACTTCACTATGTTCAAAATGTTAATACTACTTATTAAGTGTCTCCTGTGCACCAGGCTAGTCCTATGTCCCTATTTCAAACTATGGCTCATGGGTCAAATCCAGCCAGCTCTTTTCTTTATAAATAAAGTTTTATTGGGATGCAGCTGTGTTCATTCACTTACATATATATTGCCTGTGGCTGCTTTTGTGTGTGTTAAAAGGGAGAGTTGAGCGGTTGTCGCTGAGTCACATGGCCCACAGCACCGAACATAATTACTTTCTGGCTCCTCACAGAGAAGCTTGCAGACCCCCGCCTTGCACAATCGTGTAATGTATGTATGGTCATTCTCATTGAGCAGACGAACATACTGGAATTCAGAGAGGTCAGGTAATTGGCCCATCCAACTATTAAAGTACAAGGACCTAGCAAAAACTGAGGTCTAAATGACTCCAGAACTTTTTCATTTTCTTCTCTGAAACTTATAAGGGCAACAGTTTTTATATTTACCAGTTGCAGGAGAGTTCTCTGACACGTGGTTAATAGGTTTTATGTGTTTGACCCTGGTGTTAGAGTTGTACGTTTTCTCCTGTCAGAGGGATAGGAAATTCCTCTTACCTTCTGAGAATTTACTGTACTTAATCCCTTGAGGATGGATGCTTAAGGGCTTGTTTGCCTTATTTTTAAAGTGAACTTTCATGATGTCTCCAACTTCAGCATATAAAGTAGGCCCAAGAAGTCCTATGGAAGCAAAGATAAATATGTTAGGAAAACCGAAGACAGCTGCTAAGTGTGTGTGTTCACGTGTGTGAACGTGCACGCACGTAGACACACACACCATGCAGAATATCCCACGAGTGACTGCGGTCTTTCTCTCAAGTTCTGAGCTTGACCTGCTTATCTTCAATCTGGGAGGCTTTACCACCTCATAAACTCAACATGCAGTCAGATAAGGACAGAAAGGTAGAAACACTTGGCTTGGCTCAAAGCAAGTCGAGAGAGTAGCAGCAATAGTTCTGAGTACATCCACTCGGTTCTAACCCACTGTCATTTCTTAAAGACAGCCTACCATCTTTTCTTTGGCCAAAAAAAGAAAGATATTCAGATTCCAGGATGGCGGCAGATTGAGTGGAAGCTACTGACACTCTCCCAGGACCAAACTGGAATTACAACTAAAATAGTGAAAAACCATCCTGAATAATCAACTGCAACTGAAGATGAGCTGGAGAGCACCCTCATAGCCAAGGTGGAAAAGTGGAGACCACATAGAGACTGGTAGGAAGTGGGGAGGCACAGGAGGGCTGGTTGAGCTCCCACAGATAGCAGCTGACGGTCCGGAGGGATATCTCAGCTGTGGGGGGTTCCCACTGAGAACTCTGGGGACTTAACCCCAAGCTGGGCTTCTCAGCCCAGAGCACCCGAATTGAGAAAGGTATCTGCATAACATTTGGTTGTAGAAAGCAGCAGGGTTCTTTCTGCCATGGAGAGGTGGCTGGAAATGCAGGCACCCTCTTAAAGAGCCAATGCACAAGGTTTCATGTGCAGCCACTCACCTTGGGTTCCCGCAGAGAGAGGGTAGAGTGGACTAGAGTGGTGTGAGAAGAATCTAGGGATGCTGGCCCAGGGGATAGAGGTCAGAGGGCAGCCATCTGGATTTCTGTGCTGAGTCACTCCCCCATATGGCAGAGGACATATTTATCAGGCAGACATTTACTTTTCAAGCAGCTTTTGCCTGGCGGCGGGGGTGGAGGGGGGAGCAATTTCCCCACCCTGCTGGAAAACCTCTCATCGGCCCTCACAGCCTGAGGCTCATTAAGAGACAGAATAACAATCAGCCTCTGGGAGCTTTGAGTCTTTGCCTGATTTGCTTCTGGACCCAGACCTTGGTGCACATCTTGGTCCTTTCCAAATGCACCCAGCCCCAGCAGAAGGAATCACAAACTGTGGAGTTTGAAAAGCTTCAAACAGGGTACTCAAGGCCAGTCACGAATAGCATCTGACATTGGCCTGCACCAGAGACTTTCCAAAAGAATGGGAGTCCTAGCAGATCTTACTAATACATAGAAACAAATCCAAACAGGGAGCCAAAATGAGGAGACAAAAAACAAGCCCCAAATGAAAGAACAAAAGAATTCTCCAAAAGAAGAGCTAAATGAAATGGAGATAAGCAATCTATAAGATATAGAGTTCAGAATACTGATTGTGACAATGCTCAACAGCATGAAAAAAGAAATGGAAACTATGAAGGAGATGAAGAATGACATAGTAGAAATTTTTAAAAATACATTGGAAGGAATAAACAGCAGATTAGGAGAAGCTGAGGATCAGATCAGGGAATTAGAAGGCAGGGTAGAAAAAAATCACTCAGAGAACCAAAAAGAAAAAACAATTAAAAAACAGGACAGTTTAAGGGAGCTGTTGGACAACATGAAATGTAACAATATTCACATCATTGGAATGCCAGAAGATGTAGAAATTAAGCAAGGGTTAGAGAACTTATTTGATGAAATAATGGCCAAAAACCCCCTAACCTGGTCAAGGAAAAAGCCACACACGTTCAAGAGGCACAGAGTTCCAAGAAAGAAGAATCCAAAGAGGCCCACGCCCAGATGCACAATAATTAAAATGCCAAAATTTCAAGACAAAGAGAGAATCTTAATGGCAGCAAGAGAAAAGCAATCTGTTACCTACAAAGGAGCTCCCATAGGCTGTCAGATGACTTCTCATCAGAAACTCTACAGGCCGGAAGGGAATGGCATGAAGTATTCAAGGTAACACAAAACAAGGATCTGACACCAAGACTACTCTATCCAGAAAGGCTATCATTCAAAATAGATGGTGAAATAAAGAGCTTCCCAGAAGAAACAAGGCTAAAGGAGTTTATGACCACCAAACCAGCATTTGACCACCAAACCAGCATTGCAAGAAATGGTAAAGGAACTGTTGTAATGAGAAGTAGAAATAGAGAGAGAGAGAGAGAAAGAGAGGAGAGAGAGAAACATAGACATAAAGAAATAAAATGGTAATAGATAACTACCTATCAATGATAACCTTAAACTTAAATGGATTAAATGTCCCAATCAAAACACATAGGTAGCTGAATAGATAAGAAAACAAGGCCCAAATACATGCTGTCTACAAGAGACCCACCTCAGAACAAAAGACTCACACAGGCTGAAAATAAAAACAAAACTTCTGGAGGACTTTAAAGAAGAGATCAATAGCAATACAGTAACAGTAGGAGACCTAATACCCCACTGATTTTACTGAATAGATCTTCCAGACAAAAAATCAACAAGGAAACACTGATGACACAGTAGATCAGATGGATTTAACTGACATTTACAGAACATTTCACCCCAAAGCTACAGTGAAAGTCCTTACAGTAATCCTCCCAACAAGGGAAACATTAAGATCCTTGTTTTACAGATCAGGAAACTGAGCTTCAGGGCGTTTAAATATCTTGTGTACTGTTTGTTATACAGCTAGTTAGAGACAGAGCCATGATTTAAAGTGAAATCTGCCTGACTCTGGATCCTGAGCTTTTAACCACCTGTTTATACTGCACCTCCCCAGCTCATATTCATTCATCCATTCATGCAACAAATAATAACTGAATGTTCATATTATCCTAGGGGTCACACTTGCAATGCCAAGTAACATAGATGCCCTCCCTGGCCTCACAGAGCTCATCACGGGAGCAGGGAGGTGGCTCGCCCAAGGTCAGATTGGTGGCATTGAGGGGACTGACATTCAGGCCCCTGGGCTCCTGGACCAAAGCTTTCTCTACCGCCTTCTGCAGGGTGGTTTAGGACCCCTTCCTAGAACAGCCCCACTGTCTGCACCCGTCTTGACTCTTGACCACATCTCACTCCCTGGCTGACCCCTCAGTCCAGGCTCCGATGGAGCTCCCGCCGGCTGCTCCCACCGCCCAGATGCCCGCGAGCCCCACAGGGTGCCCACTGCACTCGCACACGTGCCCTGCGTTTCGTTGCCATGGTTGCCTTGCTTGGCTGACGTGTTTGTTGCATTACATGGCTGCAAATACCAGATGCCCAGAATCAGTCATAAGTTATTTAACCTAATAAGACCTCTAACTGCAGCGAACAGTCTGGAGTATTTACTTAGCCTCCCCTTCTGCTTCTTCAGAATTAAGGCAAAACCAAGTTATGTTTTCACGAAGGCAAATCAGATGCCTTCATGTGTGAAGGCAAACACGTTCCTGAGGTGCCGTTTAGCTCCCCTGGCACCCAGATGTCCTAAAACATCCCTATCCCCTCCCCAGGGCCCAAAGACAAGCTGTGGGCCCAGGAAGGCAGCACATCACGTACCCAGTTTCATGCAGTTCTGGCATCGGAAAGGACCACAGGAGGCCAGCTAATCCAGCCCCTGCACTCAGGTGAACAGCGTGTTACAGAAAGCAGGGCAGCCCATTGTTGCAGCTCTTTAAAAACCTCCAGGAACAAACATATCATAATTTTCCTTGCAAAGATACAAAGACTCAAAACTAGCCATTCACAAATGCAAGACAGAGTTCCTGACAATGAGCCCAGTCCTCCCTCCACCTGTCCGCCGGGCAGGCATCCACCGTCAGACCTAAGCCCTGCAGCCGGGCCCCCGCCCACAGTTACAGCAGGGCCTGGGCTCATGCTGCGGAGGTGAGGCCCACACGGCTCCTGTTCGGGCTCAGCTAGACTCCCGCCCACCAGGTGAGTGGGGCAGGACATAGGGGTTGGTACAAGGGACGCAGAACCAGCCTGGGGAAGGGGAAGGCCATGGAGTCAAACCCAGAGCTCGCTCGGCCGGTGTGGCTCAACGGTTGAGCATCAGCCTGGGAACCAGGAGGTCACCGGATCGATTCCCATTCCCGGTCAGGGCACGTGCCCCAGTTGCAGGCTTAATCCTCAGTAGGGGGCGTGCAGCAGGCAGCCGATCAATGCAGTTTCTCTCTCATTGATGTTTCTGTCTCTCTCTGTCTCTCCCTCCCTCTGTCTCTAAAAATCAATAGAAACATATAAAACAAAACAAAACCAAAACCCCAGATCTCCTCATTCAACACCTGACACTTTTCCTTTACAGCAGATTTGCCTCCTGTATCAACTACCACCAGGATCCGAAGACGAGTAAGACGTCCCCCCTGCCCTCCAGGGGTTGGTCCTTAGCAACTTGCAAGTTTAGGAAGCGGCTGCAGAGAAATGAATGTTGAGGTGCCTTGGAGAGCACATAAAACAAACCCGTTAGGAGATACACAGGGATTGACAGAAAGATGATATTTTCAGCGCACGGGGCTTAAAAATAAACCACCCCTCAAGGTCTACTTCTAATCAATGAGGCTGATCAGGAAATCGCTACAGAGGATTCGGATCACAGTACTGTCCTCCTGAAAAACTATCATAGCCTCCTCCTTGTTTAAAAGAGAGTTGCAGCCTGGCTCTGGTCCCTTCTGTGCCCCGTGGCCGGCGGCACAGTGGCTCACACAGACCGGGCTCGGGTTCGGTTACCTTGGCTTTTCCCCAGGCCTCACCAATGGTTCCTGCCTCACTTTCCGTTTACCCACCTGTTTACCCAAACCATTTAATTTAATATAATAGTTCTTAAGCGTGTGCTAAGGTTGGCGCTGCGATTATGAAAATGCGCAGACTCTGACAGGAGTGCTTGGACTTCCCGCCCACGACCACGCTTAATTTTACCAGTAACCCCCGCCCGGTGAAGGAGGCGTGTCTTCCACCCGGCCCGTCACTTCCATCTCTTCTGAGTCTGGCTCCTTCCTTCAGGTGACTTTATTCTCTCCTTTTCTATTGGATTCTTCCCTTGAGCTCTTAGGTGTTTTCAGTCACTGTATTCTATTTTATAAAACTCCAAAACATCCTCAACGCTCTCATTTCCTTCCAGAACCACTGCCTCTGCCGCATCTGGAGCCGAGCTCGGGGAGTCACCCCTGGGCCCTCCTGCTCTGGCTCCTCGCCTTCCGCTCCCTCCCCTCGCACCCGGCTCCCCCG